TTTATTTATTTATTTATTTTTTTATTTTTGTAGTTTCCTTTTAACTGCATGTATGCGTGAATACACAGAAAGAGCTTGATCAGGGATTTTGGAGGTTTAGCACATAAGGCAGTTTGCGTTATTTTTCTCTTGGTGTCTTGAAAAGTCGCAGACTGAATCAGGTGAGTAGATGAAGATGGACATCGTAAATGGAACAGTTCTTTCTGTGTCCTCACTCTTAAATGTGTCGTGTGTGGGTGGATGGTGTTACTCAAAGCATGCAAGCTCTAAGCCCCAGTGGGGTCCTTAATGGATGGACTGGTTTCCACAAAGGTGAACATGAGAGAATCAAGGCTGGCCTAAAACCTGTTTTGCTTTGCTCTCAAGAGGTAGGATTTATCTTCTGTAATTTTAACTTTTTAACCTATTTCTCTTAGTGATAGACTGAATTACTAGCCAATATGTTTTCTTTTTACCTACAAAACTCTTAAGGCTTTTAAAGAGTAATATGGAATGTTTGCAACATATTTTTCAATACTGAGCATTTGTGAAAACCAGTGCATTTTTTTCTTTTGTTGAGAGGTGAATTGTTTGCTTTTTTTTACTTTGACAGAGAAAATTCATAGCCAACAGATTCATTACCAACTGTAAAGTCTTATATTTGAAAGAGAGAAAAAGATACTGGATATCTGAAATTGTACAAACTCAAAATTTAGGGGCCATACTGAAACTGAAGGTTGTGGTCTAGATAGAAGCAATAACAAGGCTAATCTTCAGGTGTTCATTTCTTGCACTATCATCGAAAGTGACACCAGTAGTCCTCGTCAGACCAAGCGTTTTAACTTCCTGTATTAAACAGCACTTGTACCCAGAGAAGAACCTGTCAAAAAGTGAATCACAAATTTAAAAAATCTGTTAATGATGTAGGTAAGGGTCAGATCTCTCAGTCCTGCTCAAATCAGTTCTTTCCAGTGACATCATGAACTGTACAGTGTGACTTTCATTGATCTGACTTTCATCTATAGTTAGCTTCAACACAATTATTTTGTTTAGATTTCATAGCTCATAAATGTTAATTTTCTGCAGCTGTTTAAATTACTGTGTGTTGTGTTATTCTGCTACATAACTGTAAAAAAGTAACTTCAAGGCAGTCTTGATACTTACTCCTTTATCTTATCAATCCAGTGTTTTCAGTGTGTCCTTTTTCTCTGTTTTGAAGGTGACAACAGAGGTTGGAAAACTTCTTGGTGAAGAAAAGGTGGATGCAATTTTGTGTGTAGCAGGCGGATGGGCTGGAGGCAGTGCCAAAGCTAAATGTAAGTCTTTGGTACATGCATGCTGGTGAACACGTGAATGAAATAAAGATATTTGAGATCATCTTTCTTCCTGAGTCCAGAAGAGGACATGAGCCTAAAAGTACAAAATAGCTCAGTCACAATGCTTCTTAGTGCTTCTCTGGATTTTTGCTTTCTGTTAAATTTGTACAGCACTTAGTATTCTCAGTAATACTTTTTGATGCAGGAGTTTTCATTGGAAAAATCTTGATGCACTTTATGAAGGAGTTCAGGCAAATTACATAAGGCAGTGGCTAGGTAGAAACACCAGTGTTGTTTCCTAGTTCATTGCTTTATGCATGAAACCTCAGCTGCCTCCTGCAGCTCTCTGAGCTGTTACTGTGCAGTAGCGTTGGAAGGAGCTGTCTAATGACATGAGATCATGCTATAGAAAAAAAGCCTTCAGCTTTGAAAAAGCTTTTAAACATGTAATATATTTGTACTTTACCCACTAGTATAAGAGATACAAGAAATACTAGTAGTATAGAGATACAGAAAGAGTAGTGTAGAGATACAAGAAAAAAAAAAAGGAGCCTTGTTTTCTGTCTGGACTAAATCTGGTAAAATGTATCCTTCCCCTCCTTCCCAGTTCAGACCTTACAGGCAAAGATTTATTTTTAAGGAGAGACAATATGGAAAGGCGTATGCACTTACACCACAGTTGTGTTATACTAGATTGTTATTAGTGTGCACCATATTTTAAATAAGGTAATTTATCATAACCGTAATTTGTAGCAGTGTTATTGGTAGGGTAGCAGGATATCTTGAGATTAGTAGTTAGTTTATGTCACAGAGTTATTAATGCTTATTCCGTATTGTGTTATGGAAACAGTCCTTTCTGAATACTAAAATCTTTGGCATGGCTAGTTATTGGTTTTCTTCTTTTCCCATGCAGATCTTGATAATAAAACAATGGTGAGAGTTAAAATTTTGCTTTAATTTGAACTTATTGGCGCACCTCCCCTGGCAGGCTGCCTTATAGAGGTTGCGCTCCAGTATGTCGGGGCAATGGAATGCACACTGGGTACCGTGCAGATGTGTGCATCTTTGATATTCCATGCCAGCACACTACTGTCAGACAGGTTGTTTCTTGAAGTAACATAGTGATAAGAAATATTTTTTGTTCAACATCTTTGTCTCTTGGAGTCTTCTATCTGCATATTAATGGAGTGTAGCTCCTTTGCAGCCAATGAGCAAGTGACGGAAAGAGACAGATCATGCTACTACAAGGTGAGATAAGGCTAATGTGAGAGTTTTGAGATCCTTGATGTAGATTGAAGCAACCCCTACAGGAGTTGCAAGAGCTTGGAAATCTTTGAATCATTAATGGAACTATTGTGTGGTTTTTTTGTTTGTTTGTTTTGTTTTTGGTTTTTTTTTTCTGATAGTGAGAAAGCAGGTAATTTCCTAGGGTATACTCTGTAGAGCTGGGGCTCAGAGCCCAAAGAGAAGTGAGATACAAAATACATAAATTGATATATTACCCAGCGTGCAAGTAGAAAATAGTAGAAAGCTTGTCTTCATAGTTCTGTTGTATAGTGCTGTTGCACTCTGCCTGACAGTAGGGAAATTAGAGTTAGAAGACTTCTATCTTTTAGTTAATTTCACTAATTCTCTTCCTAATCAGCTTTATACAAAAACTGTGATCTGATGTGGAAGCAGAGTGTTTGGACATCCACTATTTCCAGCCACCTGGCCACTAAACATCTGAAAGAAGGCGGCCTCTTGACCTTGACAGGAGCTCAAGCTGCTTTATCTGGAACTCCAGGTAAAATGCAGTGCATGGTAACTGCTGGGTCATCAGCACTCATCGCTGTCTGTTTTAGCATTCTTGTTTGCGAAGCAGCAGTTTCACTCTCCAGTTTCTTGACATCTAGTACGAATGGAAAACTGCTGCTGAAACACTTAAGGAAAGTGTGATTTTACAGGTAGCAATATTGAACATCTTGAAGCTGGAGTGAAAACAGATAGAATCAGTGTTTAAGTACTATTTTATATGCATTGGTGAAATATACTTGGCTAGTATATGATACAGTAAAAGAAGTTTGGAAAATAATGAAGAATAGAAGCACACAGTAAGCTCAGTGCTTAAATGAAGTTTAGTCTCTTATTTGTGTTCTGGAAGGCAGAGTCCTTAATTGCCCAATTTTTCCATTGATGGTGACTCGGCTGATTCTGTTAAATGTGCTTGTCCTGTTTGTGTCTGATTCCAGTCCCACTTCGTTACAGACATAGGTAAGCTTTGCTGACCTTTGGCTTTGCCCTCCAGTAGATATTTAATATGAACTTCATTGAGGTTTTTTCATCTTGCTCCTCGCCATGTTGGTCTGCATGGAGGGAGAAATCTGGGAGCAATTTAAAATTAAAAAAAGGCACCAAAACACAAGCCCACAGGCAGGGAGAGGAAAGTTTTTTTGAGACAAACTCTTATTTCCCAATCTTTTATTAGTTTGACTTAAAAAATATTTAGAGACATAGATACTAAAACTTCAGAACATATTCTAAAATTCATTAATATTCTTGAAAGCTGTGTCTAAAACTGTTCAGGAAAAATACACTGTATTTTCTAGTTAATGATTTATCTTCTATGTTTACAACTGCATCTGGCATAGTCCGAGGATAAAAGGCTTATTTTATGAGTACAAGCAGAAGAATGATTTATTGTCTAGCACTGACTGACTATATACAAATGAAAAAATGTGAACTCTGTCAAACTTTCATGTTTTTGGTTTGGGTGGTTTTGGGAGGTAGGGACAACAACACAGGAATCAAAGTGATTTGCTTTCATGTTTTGAACTGGCTGGTTTCAACAGGTCTGGATTTTTCTGAAAAACACAGCAGTGCTTTGGGCAAACACATGGAACTTATTAACATCAGGAAGAATTGGGAAAGATTTGTTACTCAACTTTTGCAAATATGACTTGTGAGGAAGCCAGCCTTTATGGAAGGAACCATCTTTTTCTTGTTTGCTGTCAGTGTGATTTTTCTTTTCCTATATGAAAATGTTGACTCACGTAATGCAAATTGAAGGATACTGAGAATTGTTTAAGGAGTTACAGAAGCAGTCTGACAGTGATGGCTAAGAAATGTAGAAGCATGAAAAGGTTTAAAAAGACTTGGAATGCTTGGTTTAGGTGAGACGAGGGGAATATGATAGAGATGCAAATATTTTTGTTGTAACAATAAAATAAGTTAGCTACTGCTGCCCATGATTCCTCCCAATAAAAATGGATGTTACAGAATGTCTAATTGAATATAGTGGAAGCACTTCTGCAATGCAAAATTACCTCTCTAACTTTGATACGAAATACTTGCTTAATACTCTATTAAATTTGTAGGGTTAGCCCTGTAGATCCCATCCTTCAGGGTACATTTGAGTACATTAATTAAACTTACTTAACATAAGCTGCTTATTTCTGTAGTGCTGAGTTAACTCTGTTCTGTGTTCCTGGATGTCCAGTAGGAGCTTTTTGTTTTTTCTTTTTTCCTTTTATCTTTTAATGTGTATGTTTTGATAAGTTTTAAAAGTCTGATTCTGTTCTGGCTGTGGTAAATGGGCTTAAACTTAACATTCATCAAACAACCTGAGTTTCTGTCATATTACTGATGATATTGAGAGCTGTTTCGATTGTGCTCTGATTTGCCTGTTTTTAATTGTTAGGGATGATTGGCTATGGCATGGCCAAAGGAGCAGTGCATCAGCTTTGTCAGAGTTTAGCTGGTGCCAACAGTGGCTTGCCATCTGGTTCTGCTGCTGTTGCTGTTTTACCGTAAGTGGTTGTATAATTGCCTCTGCCTGAATTGTTTTATTTGATTACTGCTGTAACCTAGAGTCACATGGATGTGCTTGCAGTGTCCGGTTCACAGTACACAAACAGCTTCTTAGACCTACTTACAGTTTCACAGAGAAAGGAGGCATCTTGAATGTACCAACAAAATGATATGGAAGCCACCCTTAAAATTATTTTCCTTTCCTTTGTAAAACAATAGTGGGTGTTAGGATTAAAATTTAATTAACTTTTAATTAGTTTAACCATAGCCATGCATTAAAGTGATTTTTTTTTTTTTTACAGTATAGACAGAACTAAATGATACAAGCTGTTCAGCACAGTTTTAGACTTAGCTGTGTGATAATAGTAAGCAAAGGATTACTCGACGAGTTTTGACTTGGTTAAAGATGCTGCTTTATAAGGTGCTGCATATCTATACTTGGTCAGTAAAATTAGGTCACTTTGAGAATCTGTGAAAAGAAAAATTTTAGCTTGTATTTGCCTGTCACAGCTTTCTTTTTAATGAGGAAAGCTAATAAAAAGTGGATGGCCTAATAAGTCTTCACTATGTTTAAATTTATAAATTCTGCTGCAAAAAGTTAAAAGTATTTTTCTTGCAATGTCCGTATCTAGTTCAGAACCTGAAACTTGAGACTGAAGAGTTCTGTATAGGTCGTATCTAGTTCAAAACCCGAAACTTGAGACTGAAGAGTTCTGTATAGGGATTTGGAACCCTACCTGAATTCTCCCTGCTTTGTTTTCTTCTGATGCACACTTCTTCAGGTCAGACAGCAGCAGCATTAAAAGAGTTTGGATCCTTGACACCACCTTCTACAGAGCTTTACAGATGGGCAGACACCACGGTCACTGGACATTTGGGCATTCAGCACTTACATAGTTCTCATGCTAAACTCTGTTCTTGAGTGAATTGTTGAGAGAGTAATTATACCTTGGATTGTCAACAGCATCTCAGGGAGGGAGTTGTGAAAAGTTCACCCCCTTAATATAATTGTGTGTAGCATAAAAGTGTTGTCAAAGTTGAAACTTCCTGTGTGTGTGCCCTTAATCTCTACATTTGCAGCTGGCGTGAGGTTGTTTGTAAACATGGATGTAGTGCATATGTGCTGTGCAATATGTGTGAACAAGCATATTGCTGCCATTCCCTGTCTGTGTGAGAGAGACTGGCAGGGAGCTGTGGGCTAAGGGATTTCCCTAATGGGCTGCATGTCATCAGCAAGCCAGGAAGGTGAGGGGTTATAAGTTGAACCCTTTGTTATACATTGAAACTGATTGCTATATGCGTTAATACATGTAGAAGATGTGAGGGAAATCCATACCACATGATATGGAAGTCAAGCATATGTTACAGTGATGAATAGAAGCAAGTGGTGCTTATCAGAAACATGATGTATAAATAAAAAGCTTATCTTTTTTAATCACAGGGTTACCTTAGATACACCAGCAAACAGGAAATCAATGCCTGATGCAGATTTCAGCTCCTGGACACCCTTAGAATTCATGGCTGAGTGAGTATCCGTGTGATAACTAAGCAATTCCTCACTGTTCCTCCTGCTGTTGCATCTTGTTACATGTTCTTTCTAAATAGCTCTCTTGGATTTGGGTGGGTTTTTTCCTCCGTCACCCCCTCATTGTATATATTTCTAAATCACATTGGGTTTATTGCATAGGCTTCTTAACTGGAGAAAATTACCTCAACTCTGTCAGCTTCAGCATCTCTGCACTAGTTATTCCAATGAGGGAGATAGCCTTGAGCAGCTGGAAGCCAGAGAATCTCATAAAGCCTGTAGACAAATTAAATTGCAGACAGCAGATGCAGGAGACAGTAGTCTAGCTTAAAGGTAAACTGCAAATAGGCATATAAACTTTGGGATTTTTTTTTTCTTTTAAAAGCCCTTTACTGCCCAGTCTATGGTGTGTTAATTCACTTCTCTCAGTTGGCAAAAATTCCTGTCCTTGCGTAGAAAAGTTCCGTCAAGATTTTTTTTTTCCATCATCCACAAAGGCTTGTCCTGAATGATGTTGCAAAATGCTGAAACTTCAACTGTAGTTTATTTAACAGCAGGCTGAGATTATAAGACTTACTTTTTCATAAGTACTGTTTTCTGTGATGTGATGGGCAGTAGCAAAGATTCTGCTGAGGGTGAGCTGTCAAAAGGAAGAAAATAAGGATGCAACTGTCCTGTCTCTTTGAGGAAAAGCAAAAATTAATCTACGTTTATACATTGTAAAGGGCTTTACTCTTACATATTTTTAAAGTCTTCTAGAACTGACACTGAAATAGCATTTGCCCATTACTAATTGTTCAGAGAGTAGTTTAGTTCTGACATTAGATTTTTTTTTTCTGTGATTTTTTTTTTTTTTTAAGTTGGATGTCAGAGTGGGAAGTGGTTTTTGTTGCAAGAAGCCTATGCAGCTGTTTGATGTGGCTCTTTAAAACTGCCCCACCAATTGAATTTAGTTGGCCTAAACATGTTAAAAAAAAAAATTCTTAATTTATTGTGCTCTGGATACTGCTCAGCCAGATGTGGTTTTACAAATTCTTTTAAAAATTTTAAGTATTTTTTCCATATGGGAGAATTACGATTATGGTTTTGTTTCTTGGTTTCTAATTCCCTAAACTTAACTGAAAATCTCACTGTCTGTGGAAGAAAAATATTAAATCTTGTTAAGTGTTGGTAACATCTGCAGCTTGGGAAGGTTTCAAGGACACTTGAATTTTGTGCCCTGGAAGCCATTGTGTGAGATAGCAACTGCCATGTTGGAACATCCTGCTATGTCTCCAAAATTGGAAGGGTTGATGGACCTGGAAAATATACTGTGCTTTCTGTATTGTATTTTGAGTAAGGAATTTGTATTACATTTTGATAAGGAGTGTTCTGGAGTGCTACCAGTATGAGTACATCTTACTGGGCATTATTTTGGATGTCTTAAGCCTTTCTTAAGGCTTCTGCTGAAACCACTTTCGCAGTTAAATATCTAAGTGTTATAATGGCCTGAGTAATGGGTTTAACAACTCTATTTTAGCTTTAAATCTTTAACTTGGAAAAAAACTTGCCACTTTGGCTTGCCACTCTTGACATTTTAAGCTCCTGGCCTTTTCCTTTGAGATTTTCTGAAAATCCTGTGGGTGCTCTGTAAAGCCCTATGAATTTCTCTGTGCCTCTGTCCAGCTCTGAGGATCTGAATCCAGTGATTGCATTGCTAGCTTACAACATCCATAGGAATCACTGGAGAAGGCAATAGGAAAAGAATGAAAAGTAACAGTCTTTATTTTATGCTTCCTGTCAATATGCCTGTTAGTGGTGGTTTTTTTCCTTCTCATGCTGATCTATCCATTTATTTAAAACAGAACCTTTTTTGACTGGATAACAGGAAAGAATCGACCAAACTCAGGGAGTCTAATGCAGGTGGTAACTACAGGAGGGAAGACTGAACTAATTGCAGCACATCTTTGATGTCAGTCACTTAAGATGATGGAACTTCAGCAAAGGAGAAGCTATGGAAAATCTGTCTGCCAGTATAATTTGGGTGGTCTTTGGTATCCAGTGATTGTAGTTATGTCACTAATGGAACTAGATTTCAAGTAATATTTCTGTGCTGTCAGTTGTGAGCTATCTGTATTTGTTTACCAACAAGTATTAAGTGTTTGTCTCTAAATGAAAAGTTGCAGGCTTTAAAGTCTGTGCATGTCCTAATTCTGAGCATTATATGTCAACTTACGTATTTTCTCTGAAATGGGAATTGTGCTCAATTATGTCATGTAATCACATACATAATGGTTGGATTTTTTTCTCAGTAAGTGTTTTTGGCAACTTACTGTGAATCTGTCTGTCTTTCTGTCTGAGAATGGAACCCTGCCCTGCATATTATGTTGGCTGTAATTATAGGAAGTGTTACAGTCATGTATAATGTCCTAGTCTTGTAACATTTTTCTTGTGGATCTTCCACTTGAATTAAAGAAACCATATAGAGATTACTTACTTGAGAAGAAGTTCCTAATTTGCCTTACAGTTTATAAGCTGCTATCAGGCCTACAATTGTAGGATAAAATGGTAATTCTGCCAAATGATTAGTATGCCTTTGTGTTAGTCATGATGGTTTGTTACATTTTAAAAAAGCAAAGTGCTATAAAGAAGTACTAGAGAAAGCATATGCGCACTTCTATTTGAATATGGAACTTTTAGTGCTAAATAAATGTATATTGTTTTATGTAGTGGGCTGTCTCCATCACTGTAATCCAATTTACAGCAATTTAACTGAACTTCCAGTTCAGTTATGGCAAAGGACTTCATTATTTTACTTATTTTCTTCTGATCATGCTGTGTAAAGTATGTTTCCGTGGTAGAGGTGCAGAAGAGCTACTAACCATGCCTAGAGGCAGGCCTGCAGCTGGATGTCTTTGAAAAGATGATGCAATTACACGGTACATCCATACGTGCATAGGTGCAATTACCCCAAACTGGGGCGGCTGTTAAACGTAATATCAGATACAAATGTGCAGAGACAAAACACATCTTTGCCAGAATGCCATGGTAGCAGGGACCGGTCCAGTTTCTATGAATGTTTTTTTTTCTCTTTGAGATTTAGAAAGAGTAGATTTTACTAAAGCACAAGTAAATGTAAAACAGACTTGTACAGTAGAATATTAGTAATATCATTACAAATTTAAAGATTTCCAGAGACCTCCAAATACTGGGAAGGAAGCTGTTTTTGACATTGCAGGCTGTGGTGGGTCGACCCTTGCTGGATGCCAGGTGCCCGCCAAAGCCACTCTATCCCTCCCCTCCTCAGTGAGACGGGGAGAGAAAATACAACAAAAGGCTTGTGTGTTGAGATAAGGACAGGGAGAGATCATTCAGCAATTACTGTCATGGGCAAAACAGACTTGACTTGGGGATTAAGTTTAATTTATTATCAATCAAATCAGAGTAGGGTAATGAGAAATAAACCAAATCTTAAAAAACACTTTCCCTCAACACCTCCCTTCTTCCTGGGCCCAACTTCCCTCCTGTTTTTCTTTCTTTACTTCCTACCTGCCAGCAGAGCAGGGGGGCAGGGAATGGGGATTGTGGTCAGTCCATTGCACATTGTCTCTGCCACTCCCTCCTCAGGGGGAGGACTCCTCATACTGCTGCTCATGCTCCAGCATGAGGTCCCTCCCACGGGAGACAGTCCTCCATGAACTTCTCCAATGTAAGTCCATCCCACGGGCTGAAGTTCTTTATGAACTTCTCCAAGGTGGGTCCCTTACATGGGGTGCAGCCCTTCAGGCACACACTGCTCCAGTGTGGGTCCACCATGGGGTCACAAGTCCTTCCAGCAAACCTGCTCCAGCCTGGGCTCCTCTCTTCATGGGGCCACAGGGCCTGGCCAGGACCCTGCTCCAGCGCGGGCTTCCCACAGGGTCACAGCCTCCTTCGGGCATCTACCTGCTCCAGCGTGGGGTTCTCCAAGGGCTGCAGGTGGGTAGCTGCCCCACTGTTACCTCTGTGGCTGCAGGGGTACAGCTGCCTCACTATGGTCTTCACCATGCGCTGCAGGGGGATCTCTGCTCCGGTGCCTGGACAACCTCCTCTCCCTCCTTCTTCACTGACCTTGGTGTCTGCAGAGTTGCTTCTCTCACTTATTCCGACTCCTCTCTCTGGCTACACTTGCCATTGCGCAGCAAGTTTTCTTAACCCTAACCCTTCTTAAATATGTTACTGTAGAAGTGGTACCACTGTCGCTGATGGGCTCAGCCTTGTCCAGCAGTGCATTGATCTTGGAGCCAGCTGGCATTGGCTTTATCCGGCACAGGGGCAGCTTCTAGCAGCTTCTCATGGAAGCCACCCCTGTAGCATCCCTGCTACCAAAACCTTGCCACACAAACCCAATACACAGGAATAAGTGGGTAAGAACCTGAGCTGCTGTTCAGATGGAGGCCACCATCCTGTGAAGCCTGACTCATGCCTGGTCCTGTTGCTTTGCAGAACCTTTGGTTCATTGCAGGATTGAGTCTGAAATGTTTTCAGATTTCACCATGAAGAAAAATTCACAAACAGGTTTAATTAGTTTTTCAAAGTTATATTTTTGTGGGAAAATTAGTTTCCTACAAATTAGCTAATAACAATTGCCACAAAAATAAGGTTTCAAATGATGCTCTGCACCCAAGGAAAACAGATGCACTGTAAATACAATGGAGTGGTTTCCAAATACGATGGTAGCTGAGTCATTCAGCAGTTGCAGTTCTACATTAACCCAAAATTGCACTTTGAAACCTTTTGTTGAAATAATTCATTATGCTAAACAAGCACATTTTTTTTTTTATAGTGGAATGAAAACCACCACCACAACAAAAAGTAACATTTATTATTTTTTTTCTGCGTCGTTGTATTGGCTCACTGGAAGAAAACAGATGGGGACTGTAATAGCATGCGGAGATGCTTCAGACTAACCCTTGTAGTGTTGAACAAGGTGAGAAGTAGGCAGGCATCTGAAAAGCATGCAGAAGTCAATAGCAAATGTCACTTGAGATTTAGATCCCTATCAGACATTATAATTCTTGCACTTCCTGAAGCATCATGTTCTAAAGGATTTGCTTTATAAATACGTCCAGTCTCAACACTGTCTGCAGGGACTGTTCGGATATGATCACAGGCTCCCACAGCTGAGTTGAGGCTGATCTGCAGGAAAGCCAGGAGAGGGCAGAGACTTCCAACACATCGGGGAGATTTCTCTACTGCTAGGAATATGTAACTATGTTCTTTTTGGCAGGCAAGGATTTTAATTGTGCCACAGCCTCTCATTCTCCTTCCTTGCTTTATTGCCCACAATCCAAGCTTACTGGCCTTTCCTACACCAAGCACATGCAGAGTACTACATATACCACTTACAGAAACAGTTACACTGTTCAAACAAAACAAAATAAAAACCAACAACAATAAACTCCCCAAAACAACAACAACACACAAAAAAAAACCCAACGAAAAAAAGTGCCAAGGCTGTGAAGGGAGTCCCACACCAGGGTGTAGTATTACTGTTGTCATGTTATCAAGTGGATTGTCAGTATTCTGTAGCACAGCTTTAAGGGCTTGGACACAATAGGAAAGGAAACAGATTATTTAACTTCTGTACTGCACATAAGGATTACAAGAATTTCCTACCCCAACCAAAAAAAAACAGCATCTATTCAGACAAGACTAGTACTAACAAAGAGATGGAATTTGGAGGCATAAAAATTAATTAATATGGAGTTTTGAATATGAACATTTCAACTCCTTTGCCTGTGAAATGAAGGGATAGATAATATTTTTTAAAGGCATTATTTAGGAAGGAACAAGAAGTAGCAAGCCACATGACTGTCACTTCTATAGTTTAATATTCATTATCTGGTGCCTCCTGCAGATATGAACTACACCACTAATCACAGTATGAACTTCCTCTTAAGTAGTGTTAATAAGTATGTATTAGCTCATTCTTACAAATGAGAAGTATAGAAAAACCTTAAGATTGGCGCCCCTGTTTTCTATTCCTGCTTAGGCTACTGGTCTGCTGGAAGACTTTGAATACATCTCTGCATCTATGCCTCATATCCCAAATATATATGAGACCATTTTGAAGTGCTTTGACAACTACTGATGAAAATCAGAACATATGAATGAAATACATTTCTGTGACTGCAATAATAGAAGCTCAAAATACCTCTTTTGTCATCAGTCTCACTGAAATTAATGTAAAATTGTGACCACAAGCCAAAGTCATATCATTTTGCTACCAGTCATATTCAGTGATTTGCAAAAGAAGTACTATGCCAGAGATTATTTCTGTGAGTGCAGAAATACCTTCTGTGAAGCTCAAAATACCTCTTTTGTCATCAGTCTCACTGAAATTAATGTAAAATTGTGACCACAAGCCAAAGTCATATCATTTTGCTACCAGTCATATTCAGTGATTTGCAAAAGAAGTACTATGCCAGAGATTACCTCAGACAGGTAATTTGGATGTCACTTACCTGTGTATCTGGTACTAGGTAGCAGTAGTTTCTATCCAGCACAACAGGCATTATTTTTTCATGACTACCACAGCTGGAATTTAAAAATACAATGTTGTTTTTGATTTTGAACAAACCAATTACCCTTTCTACCTCACATCATAGTGAGGCAGGGCTGAGGAAGTAATACCAATGGGCCCCATGTTAGATTATGGATTCATATGAGTTAGCATGACAGTGAGCTTTTTTATTTAAACCCATACAGAAGAATCACCTGGAAGAAAAGAGTCTCTTTGACCCCCAAGAAGGTGTTTTTTTCCAAATTATTAAGATCATAGAATCACAGAATGGTTTGGGTTAGAAAGGACCTTAAAGATCATCAAGTTCTAACCCCCCTGCCATGGGCAGGGACACCTCCCACTAGCCCAGGTTGCTCAAAGCCTCATCCAGCCTGGCCTTGAACACCTCCAGGGACGGGGCATCCACAGCTTCTCTGGGCAACCTGTGCCAGTGTCTCACCACCCTCACGGTAAAAAATTTATTTCTGATATCTAATCTAAATCTACCTTCTTTGAGTTTAAAGCCAAGATCCTTCTCTTGTGCTCAGACTCACAGATTTTTCTCCGTCCTCTGTGTGAGGAATGGCCAGACTGTTCAAATGCTAGCTGCTCCTTACACCCCACCCACAAACTTCCTGTTGGCAGGTTTGAGGCCTATCTTCAACCCACGTGTTACCCTGCAAACCTTTACACCATCTGT